TTTTCCCAGGGCAAGAACCAAGTCAAGGGGGTTTTTTCCCTATTTGGCTCGTCCAAACTTTTTTTAAAAAAAAATCCTGGATCGTATAAAGAAAGTCACCCACTCTAAAATTTCCTGAAAATTGCTCCGTAAATCTGTCTATAGTTGAAACCCTCCCATTAGCACAACATTTTCGTATGTAGATGCCTTACGAATTTCGTCCCATAGAAGTTTACTGCACTCCCTATCAAAAATTGGGGCCCTGTAAATCACACCCAAAATTAGTTTTTCCTCGGCCCTCGAGAAGCTGTAACCAAACAGATTCAGTGGCTGACGCTTCTAATTTAATATCTTGTCTAACACAACAATTTAAATTGTCTCTGACATACATCGCTACTCCACCACCTTTCCTGTTGACCCTGTCAGTGTGGAATAATTTATAGCCTTGTATGTGACATTCAGAGGGCATCTCTCTATCTTTCAGATTGAGCCAGGTCTCTACCCAAGAGCTTAGTATAACCAGGAATAACTGACTGAAACATCAGGGTCCAGTATTTTTAGTCAAAATGTTTTAATTTAGTGGTAAGAAGCTCAGCACAATGCCCAGGAGCACCCCACACACCCAGAACGACCAGCTACCCACACCAACCACCGCCCACGCAGGTTTAAACGCAACTCTTTGTGCCGCCTCTACGCTTAACCACCCACTACAAGGCTGCACCCAGACACGCCTCCGCCCACGCACCCGGAACTACGGAGCATATTATAAACTCTTTTCCCCACGTGAAAGATAACTAGGAACATATTCTTAAATCTAAACTTGAACAAGGGTGATACAACTTAGAAATTAACCTCACTAGAGGTACAAGGTAGAATGTTAGAGAGGAATGCGTGCGGGTGGCGACTGCCGGCAATACAGACCAGCTGACATCAGAACTGAGGGTCCTCACTCTCTCGCGAGTCCTACATCACTCGCATCCTACGCGTCCGTCGCTCCATCACTGCCTTTTACCATAATGTTTGACGTGTTCGGTGTCATCCGTCACCTAATTCATCTAGACAGAGTCACGATAGACAATGTGATCTTCTCTCTACACAGCAAAGTGACTATGGTGATTCTAGTGGCGTTTAGTTTATTGGTGTCGAAAAAGCACTATTTCGGTGACCCCATCGACTGTATGGTTGAAGCGATCAGCAGCCACACGATAGATATGTTCTGCTGGATACAGTCGACGTACACGATACCTGCCTTGACAGGTGGTGTAGTTGGGGAACAGGTGGCCCACCCGGGCGTTTCTAACCACGATGCATTTGGGAAAAGCAAAATAAATATCGGTGGTCACCAATACCCTATCAGGTACCACAAGTACTACCAGTGGGTCGTACTCTTCCTCTTCCTTCAGGTCAGTGTTTACATCTAAACCTTCATTTGGGTTGTCTAACCTTCATTAGCTTGTGCACCTGCAAACCAAAATAATCTCAACCCACTCACCTCCTCTCAGAATTTTAGATAGCAAAATAAAGGTTTGAATTAACATCCAAAATATGTTAAATTCACATTTCATAGCAGATTTATAAAACCAAAGTCTGTAGCAATAAGAAAAAATGTATATATTCAACGTACACAAATATATATTAACCATCAGGCTTAGGCTAACAAAATACATGAATTACTTAAATGGATAAATACATGAGTGAGAGAGGATGGATTTGAGTGGGACTTGCACGTGAGTAAATGAGGAATTGAGACATTTATGCAACATATGGGAATCTTCATAACGTTTCGCCATACAGTGGCTTCATCAGTTTTATACAAAGCGGGAAGGTATAAGGAGAGGAGTTTGAGGTAATCAGTCCCTCAGCCTGGAGTCGATATGTTCAGTCCATCAATCTTGCAGAAAGTACAGCATAGGGCCGTAGACGTGGCTTATATACTGTAGTCAGGTCAGGCGAAGCAGGAGGAGGCGGGGTCATAGTGGTACCATCCACTAGTCGAAGTAGGTCTTCGTCCAAAGGTTGGACAAGTTTTGAAGAATTCTTTGTATCGAGATCCCATGATGATGCAGTGTCTGAGAGATGTGACGAACTGTTTTGAAAACCGACAAGTTGAGGAATTATATACTACAGTATATAAGCCAGTATATAATTATATGTCACAGGGCCGTATCAGTGGCTTATATAATACAGTATATAAGCCACTGCTACGGCCCTATACTCTGCTTTCTACAAGAATGATGGACTGAACACATCGACTCCAGGCTGAGGGACTGATTAATTCAAACTCCTCCTCTCCTTATACCTTCCTGCTTTGTATAAGACTGATGAAGCCACTGTGTGGTGAAACGTTATGAAGATTCCCATATGTTGCATAAGTGTCTCAGTTCCTCAACTTGTCGGTTTTCAAAACCATTCGTCACACGTGAGTAAATAGAACTGTCAAAGCTTACCGCTTGGGTAGCGTTCATTCTGACAGTGGGCTGGATTTGTGAAGGGTTTGCCTAGTACGGGCCAACAGGCCCACTGCAGTGTTCTTCCTTTCTTATGTTCTTATGTTAAACATGAGAAAATAAAATTACCATCGTAACCCAGAGACTGTTCATGCAACCCTGGTTGATCAACTCTAGTTTACGAGGGTAATCATTTACACCAATGATTTTCCATAAAAAAAGGCGTAATTTTACTTAAATATTTTCCGTAATCATGAAATTTAAAGCCCGAGTTCTTCCTCGAGGAGATAATTTAAACCCGAAAAACTTTCGAAATTTCCCAAATTTTCTGTGCAAATGGATCATTTAGGCCCAAAGTTCACTAACAATGGATTATTTACCACCAGATTTCGTCCAAAAGTAATTATTTACACGCAAACTTCCCCATTAACAGGATCATTTACAACTCATATCATGATTATTTACACCAACAGTCTTCGAGATGGAGTTATTTGCACCAGAAGCTCTTCCACAAAGGAATTATTTTCACCCTGACTCTTTTAACATTAATAATATTCACCCGAAGTTCCATTATATAAAAGTAAGTAAAAGTAAGTAAGTTAGCAAGTTAGTAAGTGCCTAAGTAGCGTGTAATCTTTTTTTTAGGTCTCATACGCAAGTTTTAACTTTCGCAATGATTTATATAGTAAATTATGCAGAATCTAACCTAACCTAACCTATCCCAAAAAGCCCAGGCATGCTAATGACTTCCTTTGTACTTAATAACATTATAACCTTAGCAAAGAAATAACAATTTGTATTTTTTTTGTAGGATATTCCAATTAAGTCACTGTGACATTCCCATTGGGGTCCTTGTGTCAAATAGCATTATTTTTACGAAGACACAACTCGATGCTGTCTCTTCCTCTGATCTAAGTGACATCAATTAACCAACAAAACTATGTCCAACACAAAACAAAATATTAAAATTTTAACGGAATAAGAAATCACTGTCTTACCTATTCGAGATGAGATTCTACTAATTAGATAGTTTTTGGGTCTATTGTTAAATTATTTTATTCTAAGTGTGGCCTTGACGTGATCAGGTAACCATTCCTGTCTTTCACCGCTGTGAAACAGAGACATGAGAACAGAAAGGCACAATACCGTGACTGGAACAATACACAGATAACCTGCACAATGGAGAGAGAGAAGCTTACGATGACGTTTCGGTCCTACTTGGACCATTTACAAAGTCACGCGTGTGATTTTGTAAAGGGTCAAAGTGGAACCCAAACGTTGTTGTAACTCCTCTCTCCTTCATGTGTCATTTGTGTCTAGATACTTGAGGCGTGGTTACCTGCTGTGGGTACTACAAAATATCATCCGCTTCCCCAAATACCATACTGGATTTGGTTTCTATCCATCACAGAAATCTGCAGCAACCTGTTTTACTGTTTTATCGTGTCCGCCTCTTTCAGCATTTCCAGTTGTTGTCATTCCTCCTAACTTATGTATATGTTCTCTAGGACCCAGGTCCACGAGGAATTTAACTGTTTTAGTCTGTCAGAAAGAGAGAGACCAGTTTCTCCAAGGTACTGAAGAGAACAAGAGAAGCATGAAATAGACTAGACACCAGGGGCATCAACAGCAGCAGGAGAGGTACGAAGCAGATTAGTGCGAAGTGTGTTAGTTTGGCGAAAAGTAAGTTTGATATCTAGGAAACGGAGAGAGTTGTTGACATTAGTTTTTGGGCAATATGTAGTCCGTCTTCCAGTCTATTAGGGCAGGCCACCGTGAAAAAAAAAGAATAATTATTCTCTGACGTGCCTACAGATATTTTTCTCCTTATTCTCATTTAGTTGAGATTGATGATGGTCCTGGACCGATCGAAGCTTTAATAACACGACTGCAAACAAACTACAGAACGGATGGCATCTGAACCCATTCCTTCTCTGTAGTGTGGAGTTTCCTGTGAATCTTTAAAGGAATTTACATCTTGCCCACCCGTCGTCAGCACTGGCCCGGGGTAAAGCCGGCTGAGTCAATGGGTACGGCTGGTTGTGGTAAGTGGGTACGGCCGGTTGTGTTATTGGGTACGACCGGCTTTGTTAGTGGGTACGGCCGGCTGTGTTAGTGGGTACAACCGGTTGTATTAGCGGGTATGTCCTACTGTTTTAGTGGGTACGGCCAGCTGTATTAGCGGGTACCCCCGGCTGTGTTAGTAGGTATGGGCAGCTGTGTTAATGGGTACGGCCCTTTTTTTGTGCTTATATAACAACAATGGACACACCCACAGTCCTAATGCCCCACTCTCTATGATAATTATACTGTGGGAACGCCAGCAGTTTGCTGGTACCCTGTTTTCTGTGATAGTTATAAAGTGAGAATACCCTCAGTGTACTGCTAAACTATACTGTATTTTAGTTATATAGTGGAAACACCAGCAGTGTGCTGGTACACTATTTTATATGATAGTTACATTGTGGGAACAGCAATAGTGTGCTGGTACACTATTCTATATGATAGTTGCACTGTGGGAACAGCAGCAGTGTGCTGGTACACTATTCTATATGATAGTTGCACTGTGGGAATAGCAGCAGTGTGCTGGTACACTATTCTATATGATAGTTACACTGTGGGAAGAGCAGTAGTGTGCTGCAACACTATTCTATATGATAGTTGCATTATGGGAACAGCAGCAGTATGCTAGTACACTATTCTATATGATAGTTACATTGCGGTAACCGTGACTAGTTATGTTCCCCTATCATCTTCCACCTAACAGTCTGTGACTCGAGCCCTGCAACCGCTCATAGGTGAGTACATGAAATCTGACTCATCCATCAAGAAACCTGACCACAGAAATTAGATCCAATTACTTGGATGGAGAGCCCTTCACTGGCATTGAGTGAAAGCCGCAAGAACAAGACAATAATATTTTGCAATCAGAGTTTTATATGCAACATAACAGCTGCCCAAGCCTATGTATATATACTATATATATATATAGCATACTAAGAAACCCCTCGCAAGTAGAGAATATATGATGACTGAGACAATTACACGTTTAAGATATACCAAGGGCAAAGCTGTATATATTAGGCCAAATATACTGTGGATACAGTACTGTATTCTTGTCCAGAATATACCATTAACACAACAGTATATACTAGACCCGAATTTACTGTGGACATGGCTGCTTATACCAGCGTATACGTTGTATACAGTCATATATATATATATATATATATATATATATATATATAATATATATATATATATAATATATATATATATATATATATATATATATATATATATATACTAAGAGGAATTAATAAGGAAGGAGAGGTGCTACGATGATAGCGAAGGGATCTCGATTCAAGAGAAATGGAGCTACCTTTCCCTTTCTAGGATCAAATCTGATTATGCCCCGTTCCCCAGACGCTGTATTGCCCATATAGGCTCATCACTTCCAGGCGATTTTTAATAATTACACAAGTCCTGACAATGTAGGCAGAGCGTTCAGGAATAAACATTGCCATCCACCAGTTACCGGAGCGGAGAGTCCTATAAACATTCTGAACACAGATTACCTAATACTCGAACTGGTAAATGCTTACGGAGTACAGTCTAGGGGGCCAGAGACTACAAAGCTCACTCAGGGAAAAGGATCTTGGGGTGAGTATAACACCGAGCACATCTCCTGAGGTGCACATCAACTCAATAACTACTGCAGCATATGGGCGCCTAGCAAACATTAGAACAGCATTCCGACACCTTAATAAGGACTCGTTCAGGACCCTGTACACCGTGTACGTCAGGCCCATATTGGAGTATGCAGCACCAGTTTGGAACCCACACCTAGCCAAGCATGTAAGGAAGCTAGAGAAAGTGCAAAGATTTGCAACAAGATTAGTCCCGGAGCTAAGGGGCATATCCTACCAGGAAAGATTAAGGGAGATCAACCGGACGACACTGGAGAACAGGAGAGATAGGGGGGATATGATAACAACTTATAAAATACTGAGAAGAATCGACAAGGTGGACAGAGACAGGATGTTCCAAAGATGGGACACAGAAACAAGGGGTCACAATTGGAAGTTGAAGACTCAGAGGAATAACAGGGATGTTAGGAAGTATTTCTTCAGTTACAGAGTATTCAAGAAGTGGAATATGCTGGGAAGTGATGTAGTCTGGGCAGGATCCATACATAGCTTTAAGAAGATGTATGATAAATCTCATGGAGCAGGAAGAGTGGCCTAGTAGCGGCCAGTGAAGAAGCGGGGCCAGGAGCTATGACTCGGCCCCTGCAACCACAACTAGGCGAGTAGACACACACACACACACACAGGACAGGAGGGTCAGGGGAGACATGATAACAACATATAAAATACTGCGCGGAATAGTCAAGGTGGACAAAGACAGGATGTTCCAGAGATGGGACACAGAAACAAGGGGTCACAATTGGAAGTTGAACACTCAAATGAGTTAAAGGGATGTTAGGAAGTATTTCTTAAGTCATAGAGTTGCCAGAAAGTGGAATAACCTAGAAAGTGACGTAGTGAAGGAGGGAACCATACATAGTGTTAAGACGAGGTTTGATAAAGCTCATGGAGCAGGGAGAGAGAGGACCTAGTAGCAATCAGTAAAGAGTCGGCTCCAGGAGCTATGAATGTTTTGGTAACCAAACCAAACTCACGTAACATAACCCAAAGTACACATATAACCCGCACATAGGAGAAAGGGAACTTACGACGACGTTTCGGTTTGACTTGGAGCATTTACAAAGTGACTTTGTAAATGGTCCAAGTCGGACCGAAATATCGTCGTAAGCTCTTCTTTCTTCTATGTTCGAGTTAATTGTGTATTGTTGCGGTCACGGTATTGTGCATTTTTATTCTTTATAACCCAACGTAACAAAACGTTAGGGCGTGTTACCATTTTTTCTCCTTATTTCCCCAAAATATAAATGTTTCCCCATTGGTCAACCATCTAAATTCACACAAAAAATAAAAACCGAGTTGCTAAACACAATACCGACTGGTTTTTCTTGCCCAGTTTAACGAGTTGAATACCATCAACCCACACTCTCCACTACGCAACTTCCCGCAGGCTGGAATGTTCTACTTCCCGCACTGGATCTGGAAGCGACTGGAAGGTGGGCGGCTGAGAGGGCTGGTGACTGAGCTCGACCTCCCGTGTCTCAGCGACGATCGTAAACACGAAAGGATGAACTTCGCTCTCCAGTACTTTAACCACTACTTCCACCATCATAATGTCTACGCGTACCAGTTCTTCGTCTGCGAGCTGCTCAACTTCGTCAATGTTATTGGTCAGATCTACCTTACTGACAAGTAAGTCTCATCTAATTCATTCATGTGTTTCCCGAGAGTTTATTTTAATCCCTATTTAAGAGGTTAAATTATTCTTGTCTGTTTGTTGTAAAGGTTATATGCAGCCTTAATAACCCCTCGTGTAGTCGATGGGTTTTAAATCGAATTAACCATCCCCCCAAAAAAAAAGAAAAAACTATAATGAACATAGTTTCCATGGTTAGCAATACTTTGTAGCTCGGCGTTAGTGTTAGAGATCAATGGTATAAAATGCTGACATGATGGAAAAATAAACTTAAACGCAAAATAATGTGATTTTTTATTGACAACGTTCCGCCCACAAACAGGTCTGTTTGTTACACAAATTAACATTCACAGTAACTTATGTGTAAATTACCTACGACAGCCTCCACTGGAGTCCTTGTTTCGAGCATTTAAGTAGATTCACCGCTCACGATTTGCAACACATTTTTTTTTTTAATTTAGGTTATGACATCAGTGATGTCTCCAGGATGCCTTCAAGAGTCACTTGACTCTTCTCGCAAGAGTGACAACATTGTCTGACTTATTTTGGGGTCATTCTAGGTAATATACACATGTTACTATGTACGATGATTTATGTAACTTACCTCAATAAACTTATATGTGTGATTAAGAGAACGGACTGAGGGATTAGTAGGCGTCAGTTGTATAGAAAACGGTTTTCCTGGCTCAGTTTTATTGGGTTAACTCTAGCAATTAAGCTATTTGCTAAATAACTCTTACACATTTCAAATGTCTTTTTACTGGTTTAAATACATATTAAATTTACATGTCACCAGCCTTGGCACGTTTAATATACGGTAGAGACATCCCTGGGGCAGAAAACATTATATTAGCCTATAAGTTATCTAGGTAATTTGTTTTGTTTGTACAGTGGACCCCCGCTTAACGATCACCTCCAAATGCGACCAATTATGTAAGTGTATTTATGTAAGTGCGTTTGTACGTGTATGTTTGGGGGTCTGAAATGGACTAACGTACTTCACAATATTCCTTATGGGAAAAAATTCGGTCAGTACTGGCACCTGAACATACTTCTGGAATGAAAAAAATATCGTTAACCGGGGGTCCACTGTACATTAAATGGTCCCTGTGCTGTCCTGTAATAAATATTGAGCTTTTAAAAGGTACACCTCAGATGAATTTGAGCTATTCTTCCTTTCCTTGGCTCAAACTTGTTTACCTCCCATTCCCCAGGTGCTGCATGACTCCCAGTGGGTTTTATTCCTCCCCAGGTGTGTTTATCAGGATATATTTCCTCTTCACTCCGATAACTAGTGTTTTTAGGTTTTGTAAGGGCTTTTAGTTTGTTCCTGGTGATAAACGAGTTGCTGGATATCAATGTTTTGGTATTCAGTCGACATCTGGTTGTCTCGTAACTTGGTCGGTATCGTAATTGTAAAGGACTTGCCTACTATGGGCCAACAGGCCTGCTGCAGTGTTCCTTCTTTCTTATGTTCTTATGTACTCAGTTCATACAGTGTCCGAGGTTCGATCCCCGGTACGGGTGGAACGTTGGGCATGTTTCCTTACACCTGCTGTCCTGTTCACCTAGTAGTAAGTAGGTACCTGGATGTTAGCCGACTTGTGTTTGTCGCATCCTGGTGGTAATATACCTCAGATAGAGTTGGGCTACGAGATGAACTGAGGTAGGATAACAGCTCTTGGCCTGTAAAAGTCATCTGTACATATAAAAATGATTAGACACAGAGATTCTTATTTTGGTCGTCAAGTATTTTTGTAGCCTCGGCGTAACCCTAATTCCTCACCAGTCTCACAGGGGTAAAACTGAGAGCAGTTGATGCTGTACATCTTGTTGTCTTCCCACGAAAATTCTTAACTCCAGACGAACTTCCTACTTGTACTCATCTCAGAGCATAAACTAAAACAGTGAGAGTGACGCTCTCAACTACAAACAGGGATGCGCTCTTGTAAGGAACTAAAGGTCAGCCAATATGGTGTGAACCAGCTGTGGGCTTGGGAGAGTCTGGCTGGGTAAAAAGATCCTTAAACTAAACAACCTTCCACTGGCTAAGCCTCCCTTGGGTGATCAGAGAGCCACACCACTCAATAACCAGCCAAAACGTCTAGGGTTGTATGTCACCGATAGATGTCTATGACTGCCGTGCTTACATTACTGTATAACCCTTTGTATTTAATGGCTCAAAATATAGTTTCGTAATTCAGTGTGCGCTTCTGCAAGTTTACTCACCAGCCTCTACGTTATTACTTTAATAATAACGTTATCTACGCCTTTGGGTTTTTAAAGATTTGGCTTTCTACACCTCACAGGTTCCTGGGATTTAGAAATGTTCCAGTTGCTTCTTCTGGCTCCATTAAATTACTCCATTTACCCTTTACAGGTTCCTGGACCTCGGGTTCGCCAAGTACGGACCACGGGTGCTGAACTACAGTCAGGACTCCAGCAGCGGCCACGACCCCATGGATGAGATCTTCCCCAAGGTGACTAAGTGCACTTTCCACAAGTTTGGTCCTTCAGGGACCATCATGAGACATGATGCTCTCTGTGTTCTCCCTCTCAACATCCTAAACCAGAAGATCTTCGTCTTCCTCTGGTTCTGGTGAGTTATAGAGAATTATTAATATTATTATTATTAAAAGTAGTAGTAGTAGTAGTAGTAGTAGTAGTAGTAGCATAAGCCGTGGGAATCATTCAGCGTAAATAAATACTGAAGGTATGAACCCTCATTCGCTAATCACTAGACAGACCTGCTTAGCTCTATATTTCTAGATCTTGTGAGCTGTAGAGTATTTGTTATGATGTATAACTGTGTTTCTGGGGTAACTGGTAGGTTTACAATGGGATACATATATTCCAGATTGGTTACAGGTAAACTCAACGATGTGAAGTGGAAAACCTTCAGTAGCGGAACCATCAGTCTGATGTGTGTGGATTCTTTTTGAGGTAAAGGGTCTCTGTTTACATATACCTTCAGTATATTGAATGATTTCTCTATGTGAACTTTAGTCTACAAAAGTGTAGTATGTAGACGTGTAGATATCAGCCCACACTTCCTGATTCTTTGAAAATAAAGTCATAATACCGAAGTGCTTCAAATCACATATCGCCTGTATTTTGGAAAGGAAATCGTAGGCGGCGAATCGGTTCATCCTGGACGAATACCAAGCCACAGGTGTGGCTGATACCGGTCCAACACGGACCGGAGCGTAGTCCATGGCTTATCCGCCGCAATATGGTTTATTTGTAAACTCTTTCAATATTTCCAGGAGGTGGACTTTACTGCTGATAACCTGTTGTAGACCTCGAGTTTACGCTATCGTACAGTTTTCGTTTTAAACTTGTGATTTCGTCAAAATACAAAGAATTTGATCCCAACATGGATGAAAAAAAGCATAAGAAACGTATATTTTACCTGAGTGAAGAGTTTGAAACTTGGAGTTTGTCAACAGGTTTGTGATTTTTACTGTGGTTTCTTATTAACAGGTTTGTGATTGTTGCTGTGGTCTCTTATCAACAGTTTGTGATTGTTGCTGTGGTCTGTTATCAACAGGTTTGTGATTTTTGCTGTGGTTTCTTATCAACAGGTTTCTGATTGTTGCTGTGGTCTCTTATCAACAGGTTTGTGATTGCTGCTGTGGTCTCTTATCAAAAGGTTTGTGATTGTTGCTGTGGTCTATTATCAACAGGTTTGTGATTGTTGCAGTGGTCTCTGCTCTGGGTCTGGTCTTCCGCCTCGCCACATTCACTCCTTCCGTCCGCTACCTGTTGCTACGAAGCCGCTGTCGCCTAGTCCCAACAGAGAAGGTGAAAGCTATTTCCCAGAGGTGCTACATAGGTGACTGGTTCATCATCCACTTGCTAGGTAAGTACGGGAGACCCCTAGAGCTTACCTGGAGAGGGTTTCGGGGGCCAACACTCCCGCGGCTCGGTCTGAAACCAGGCCTCATGGTGGATCAGGGCCTGGTCAACCAGGCTGTTACTGATGGCAGCACGCAAAGTGACGTACGAACCACAGCCTGATTGGTCAGGTACTGACTTTAGGTGCCCCTATGGCTTTTTTTTATTAGGACAATAAAACGAAAAAATCCAGACAGACTCCGGCTTAACCTTGAAAATTAAATAATTTCAGTGAATTATTTTATAATGAATTATTTTGCTAACTCTGCTTAAATTATGAAATACACGTGTATTAAATAATTAGTATTATAATACAAACGTCTGGGAGAAATTTTATATTTCAATATAAATATAAAAAAGGATTAAAAACATCGTTGAAATTATATTTTGCCGACAAATGTGATGAAATTATAAGCTACAGAAGGAGTTTTTATTTTGTAGAGCTTTATCGAGTCATGACTTTATAAAGCTCTACACAGAGCGGGTCGTTGCCTTAATAAAAGCTTGTTTTGCAGCTTTTGTCTTTGTCTTTTTAGAACAATATAGATTTTCTCTTTATTTTCACGTTCGTGTAAGTGGTTCTCGGAAAATTAGTGAGAACGTATTTGCAACAGTTAGGCAGCTTTAATATTGAAACGTATCGCCTACACAGTAGGCTTCTCCAGCCAAATACAGAGGCAGTAGATGTAGTAGTGAAAAAACCTACTGTATAGGCGAAACGTTTCAACAAGATACACGACAGCTGCACATGTGGCTTAATTATCAACATGGTATTGTATACCATTTTCAGCATAACGGAGAGACCGTGGCAGTTAATATTCCATGTTTCTTTTCCAGCTAAGAATATGGACCAGTTCACCTTGAAGGATTTCATCAACGACCTGACTCGCACTCTGGTTGAGAAGGAACATGTCTCCTAATACTGCTTCACACGACACTCATTCTTATTGCCAGACAATGGCTGGCGCCACTACAGCTGCTGTACCAGTGCTCTGTCGTTATGATCACTCTTGGTGTGCAACATCCTGGTTATTGCCAAAACCTTACCCCTGCATGGCAGCCTTCTTCAGCTATGTTATATTCAACTGTATTGGACTGAGGGAGCCTGTGGCTCGGGCGAGACGTTTAGTTAATTAAGATAATACCCAGTGGGTGCAAATGTGTCTTAGGTTAGGTAATGTTTCTCAGGAAACAAGATTAGTGCTACCTGATGAGGGTCTTAGTCATATGATGACCCGCAACTGGAGTTTTTGGTCATCTGACCGAGGTCTTCTTCTGGCTGGCCAGTCAACCCCTTTTATTCTAATAGTATTTGTCTTATTGGTCAGTTTGTCAGTACTGTGCAGATATATAATGATCACTCACCCATGGCTGAGTCATTATATATCCCCATGGCTGACTATAATATTTCCCATGGCAGACTCAATGTCTTCTCTACAGTGGCTTCCCCACTGTGACCGTTCTTTCGTGTCCTCTCTATTATTTATTTACTACAGTGCTTTCCTCATCAAATACCCTCACTGTCTTCTACCCAAGAATGTCTTCCAGGCTGTTAGTAACCCACGCCCTTCCAGGAGGGTGCCTTGATTGCTTGTGAAGAGATCTTAATCCAAGGATATCGGAGCTACTGTTCTCTTCCTTGGATCAAAACTTAGGAATTGTATGACCCTTCTATCCCTCCTATGGACTCAACGCTTTCCTGTGTTGGTGCCACAATCGTAGGTGCTCTTCCAGGACCAACTAATGGGTTCTCAATCATGGGTTGTCGACTATGAATTCTCGACCATGGGCTATAATCTACGGATTCTCAACCATGGGCTGTTAACTATGGGATGCCAACCGTGGGTTTTAATCTATGGATTTTCAACTATGGGTTCTCAACCATGGGTTCTCAATCATGGGTTATCAACTATGGGTTGTTAATCACGGGTTGCCAACCATGGTTTCTCAATCTTGGGCTGCCAACCATGGGCTCTTAACTATGGTTTGTAAATCATGGATTCTCAACTATGGGTTGTGAACCATGGGTTCCATCACCAGTGCTTCACCACGACTGGTCAAAGCAGTGGTTCTAACCCAGCGTGTCAGCCACAAAGGAGCTCTTCAACCAAGCGGCCGCCACAACAGTAAGGAAACCCTACTGCCTCGGCAACCCCCCCTCCATACAGTAGCAAGGGGATGCCATGGCAACCCCATGGGGGGGTCACCCATCGTGGGTCACCTCATCATGGGTCACCTCATCATGGGTTCTACACAATTACCACGATGTATTTTTTTGCATTATAAGAATATCATTACCATTTTTACCTTCATTTTATAAATGAATTGATATCATGACCACCAAAGACCAGTGAATACCCACATGGGTATACAAGACCCATACGGGTCTAGCACTTCATTTAAATAAGGAAAAAATAATAATTTTAGCATTTAGAAATTAAGGAGAATTTGGGAAGAGGTTTTTTAATATGTATGTATAAAAAATATACATCATTTTCTCTACATTTGTGATATTATATTGATTTTGCAAGGAAGTGATTTAGTTTCTCTCTCCTAAAAGCTTTTGATACTAGGAATTGGAGTTTTTTTTTTTTCATCTTCGGATCGAGTCTGATTATGTCTCATTTTAGAACGAGCTGAGTGGCCCCATGGGTTTAGCGCTCGCTTCAGTATGTAATAGCTTTGTTATACTGCAAGGAATGTCTTCCTTTCTCTCTCTCTCTCTCTTTTTCTCTTTCTCTCTCTCTGTCTCTCTGTCTATGTATTTATCTATCTATCTATCTATCCTTTCTGTCTCTCATTTCTCTTTATCTGTTTCTCCTCACACACTCCCTCTCTCTCTTTCTCCTTCTCTCTTTATCTCTCTCTCTCTCTCTCTCTCTTTTTTTTTTTTTTTTTTTTTTTTTTTTTTTTTTTTTTACACAGGGTTTGACAAGGTTAAGGATCCCTAGCTTTATTGACAGCTATATTACAGGTTAAGGATTCCTAACTTTTTTTAGGCAAGCTAAGAGCTGTTACTACATCAGCTCATTTGAAAGCATTTTTATTGTTATGAGACATACAAGTAGGGAACAGGATGAAGTTGGAGCCATCTGTGGGCCAGCATTTTCATTTGATCAACTGACTTTATCTCGTTGACATCATTATGCTGTACGAATGTGTTCCATTCTCGAGTCATCCTGGGTATGTATGATCTCAGATGGAGTGATATTCTGGAGAAGGGTACAGCCAGAGTGAAGTTGCTGCTTTCTGCCCGTCTTGTGGCATAAAAGCTTGTTTCACGCTGTCCTCGAAGTGGATCCAAGTGTGGTATTTTGACAATATTGGCCTTGTACTCTCTCTCTCTCTCTCTCTCTCTCTCTCTCTCTCTCTCTCTCTCTCTCTCTCTCTCTCTCTCTCTCTCTCTCTCTCTCTCTCTCTCTCTCTCTCTCTCTCCCATTTCCTTCTAACTGACCTTATAACCGGCACATAACGCCTTAATGGACCACATAAATTCCCACAACAAGTTAAACAGGAGATTAAAGTCACCGCCTTCATTAATTATGGTCTGGTTAGATGACAAACTTAAAGACAACTTTTTGTTTCGCTTTTTTCCAGCTTGTCGACACAAATTGGAAAAGTTTTGGGAGTGAAAATTGCAACAGTGGCTACTCCTGCCCCCCCCTTCCTCTGCCAGTCTGGAAATAATTTGAGAAATAAAGTTGATAAGGAGACCTTGATTTCTTGCAATATCCACGAAGCGAGGGAAGGTGCCTTGATGCTGTTGAGAGGTTCTTGAACCAAGGGGAGAGTGCCTTGATGCTGTTGAAGGGTTCTTGAACAAAGAGAAGAGTGTATTGATGCTGTTGAAGGGTTACTGAATCAAGGGAAGAGCGTCTTGATGCTGTTGAGAGGTTCTTGAACCAAGGGGAGAGTGCCTTGATGGTGTTGAGGGGTTCTTGAACCAAGGGGAGAGTGCCTTGATGCAGTTGAAGGGTTCTTGAACCAAGGAAGAGTGTCTTGATGCAGTTGAAGGGTTACTGAATCAAGAGAAGAGCGTCTTGATGCTGTTGAGAGGTTCTTGAACCAAGGGGAGAGTGCCTTGATGGTGTTGAGGGGTTCTTGAACCAAGGGGAGAGTGCCTTGATGCAGTTGAAGGGTTCTTGAACCAAGGAAGAGTGTCTTGATGCAGTTGAAGGGTTACTGAATCAAGAGAAGAGCGTCTTGATGCTGTTGAGAGGTTCTTGAACCAAGGGGAGAGTGCCTTGATGGTGTTGAGGGGTTCTTGAACCAAGGGGAGAGTGCCCTTGATGCTGTTGAAGGGTTTTTGAACCAAGGGGAGAGTGTCTTGATGTTGTTGAGAGGTTCTTGAACCAAGGGGAGAGTGCCTTGATGTTGTTGAGAGGTTCTTGAACCATGGAGAGAGTGTTTTGATGCAGTTGAAGGGTTCTTGAACCAAGGGGAGAGTACCTTGATGGTGTTGAAGGGTTCTTGAACCAAGGGGAGAGTGTCTTGATGCAGTTGAAGGGTTCTTGAACCAAGGGGAGAGTGTCTTGATGCTGTTGAGAGGTTCGTGACCCAAGAGGAGAGTGTCTTGATGCAGTTGAAGGGTTCTTGAACCAAGGGGAGAGTACCTTGATGGTGTTGAGGGGTTCTTGAACCAAGGGGAGAGTGCCCTTGATGCTGTTGAGAGGTTCTTGAATCAAGAGGAGAGTGCCTTGATGCTGTTGAGAGGTTCTTGAACCAAGGGAATAGTACCTTGATGCTGTTGAGAGGTTCTTGAACCAAGGGGAGAGTGCCTTGATGCTGTTGAGAGGTTCTTGAACCAAGGGGAGAGTGCCTTGATGCTGTTGAGAGGTTCTTGAACCATGGGGAGAGTGCCTTGATGGTGTTGAGAGGTTCTTTAACCAAGGGGAGAGTGCCCTTGATGCAGTTGAAAGGTTCTTGAACCAAGGGAAGAGTGCCTTGATGCTGTTGAGAGGTTATTGAATAAAGGGGAGAGTGCCTTGATGCTGCTGAAAGGTTCTTGAACCAAGGGGAGAGTGCCTTGATGCTGCCGAAGGGTTCTTGAACCAAGGGGAGAGTACCTTGATGCAGTTGAAGGGTTCTTGAACCAAGGGAAGACTGCCCTGATGCTGTTGAAGGGTTCTTGACCCAAGGGAAGAGTGCCTTGATGCTGTTGAAAGGCTCTTGATTCAGGGGAGTGCTTGATGCTGGTGAAGGGCTCTTGATCTAGGAAATTGATGTTACAGTCTTCTTCATAGGGTTAAAATTGATTACCACCCATCCTTCCTATTTTGAAGGCGATGTGCTAGTGGTAGTAGTAGTAGTAGCAGTAGTCGTAGTAATAGTAGTGGTGGTGGTGGTGGCAGTAGTAGTAGTAGTAGTAGTGGTAGTAGTAGTAGTAGTGGTAGTAGTAGTAGTAGTAGTTTTAGTAGTAGTAGTAGTAGTAGTAGTAGTAGCAGTATTAGCAGTAGTGGTAGTAGTAGTAGTAGTATTAGCAGCAGTAATAGTAGTGGTGGTGGTGGCAGTAGTAGCAGTGGTGGTGGTGGTGGTGGCAGTAGTAGTAGTAGTAGCGGCGGCAGCGGCTGCAGCGGCTGAAGCGGCAGAAGTAGTAGTAGTACTAGTAGTGGCGTTGGTGGCGGTAGTAGTAACAGTAGTAAAAACAACAATAACAACAATAATAATAATCTTAATAGTAATAATAAAATTATTATTATTATTATTATTATTTCATTACCACCTTTTTCACCTATGCATTTTCTTACATTTTTCCCCATTTTTTCACAATTTTCTTACGTCCTCGCCCAGCGTGTTCCTCCTAACACTGCACAACAACACGCACGTTATTACGACCATTGAAAGTTCCACTACCAGCAACAGTAAAGTAACTACACTCTTGCAGAACAAGCATTACTGTGACACTCCGTCCCTCTACACGGTGACACATTGCCACTTTTAAAACCTTGTTAATAATAATAATAATAATAATAATAATAATAATAATAATAATAATAATAATAATAATAATAATAATAATAATAATAATGACAGTAATAGTAATAATAATAATAATTATAATAATAAGTCCCCAGGATGCTATCCACACTAGTCGACTAACACCCAGGTACCTATTTTACTGCCAGGCGAACAGGGACAGCAGGTGTCTTAAGGAAACACGTCTTAATGTTTACCCCCCGTACCAGGGATCGACCCCCGGACCTCGTTGCGTGAGATAAATGCCTTCAACTGTCTTCAACTACGTTCATGATATACACAGACTTACATATTTCGAATAACGTTTATTCCTACAACAGTGTAATTCAGCAACTACAAAAAATAAACAGAAAATCCTGAAACAAATGCATCAAAGTCTATTTTTTTACGGCAATTCCTACAACCAATTTCGTAACTAATTATCATATCTGTGACACTGCCACCAAATAATACCCTCCGGCAGCTCTACCGTGCTCATTCATTATAAAATAAATGATAAATACAACTCTAAATTCTCGCTAACACCAGGGGAATTATGTATGCCCAGTGCACTCACTACTTCGACAATCTCATCCCGCACAAACCTAGGCTGTTACATTGTTTGTTGGGTTTAAACTCAATCGAGGATCATTAAGCTCGTATTGCGCCTGAACCTCTCTCAGGAACACCTTAGTGTCTATTGTAGGGATTAAAATTAAGTCGGAGGATGTATATACTGAGAGAGAGAGAGAGAGAATTTCTCGACCCCAACGCGAGAGGACTCACTTTGTGGTCCATCACACCAATCAGGACTCGCCAAGAGTTCCAGCACCACTGTCTATCATCAGTGGTGCTGGAACCTGGCAAAGGAATTATGTGTACTTTTCGATGTGTTGATATTTGTAGAGTAGGGGAAATGAGTTCAGAAAATGTGTGCGTGTGTGTGTGTCTTTCGGCTCACAAATAACCCGCTTATGACGACATTTCGGTCCCACTGGGACCATTACATAGTGACTTAATGGTCCATATAGGACCGAAACGTCGTTGTAAATTTGGCTTGTTGTTTCCGGAGAAACTACCTCATGATCTTCGTGTCTCATCTTCAGTTATGTATCAGCATTTAACTTTTCTTTTAAAATATTCACTATTTCTCGCCGTCTGTGTCACGTCTCTGATCTCATTTCAGGAAACATTCCATCTCTATGTAAATAAAAAATCAAATATATCCTATGTTTGCAATTTGTTTTTGTTATTACCGACGCCCAGAATTATTCTGCTGCTACTTTGACAATCGTTTTAAAGTTTACATTTATTCAGGGTAGTGGTTTGCTGTGATTAATGGTAAAGGGCTTTTTTACGAAGGAAGTGGAGTTGGCGTGCCCTTCCTCTGGAAAAATTGCGCTGGGAATTCGGAGCATGAAGCGTAGAGGATAGTGGTAGTGTTACTATAATGTAAGTGAGATAAGATAAGATAAGATTTCGTTCGGATTTTTAACCCCGGAGGGTTAGCCACCCAGGATAACCCAAGAAAGTCAGTGCGTCATCAAGGACTGTCTAACTTATTTCCATTGGGGTCCTTAATCTTGTCCCCCAGGATGCGATCCACACCAGTCGACTAACACCCAGGTACCTATTTGCTGCTAGGTGAACAGGACAATAGGTGTAAGGAAACGTGTCGAAATGTTTCCACCCGCCGGGAATCGAACCCGGGCCCTCCGTGTGTGAAGCGGGAGCTTTAGCCACCAGGTGATTTGGTCGTTCTGACGCTGTACGACCCATATGAATTTAAAAAAAAAATGGTTATAATCGTAACCATAATTTTTAAAGGGGTGGACCGGTAAGTCAGCGGGAAGCCTCGGTCAGATGACTAAAAGCTCC